GCATATTCAAGTCAGCTGTTCATGCAAACAAAAATACAGAAAGTCTGAATTATTCTTTTTTAAAAGAATTTATTTTTTTGTTAATCCTCACCTGAGGATATTTTTCCATTGATTTTTAGAGAGAGTGGAAGGGAAGGAGGGGGAGAGAGAAAGAAACATTAATGTGAGAAAGACACATTGATTGGTAGCCTCCCACATGACCCCAACTGGGCCAGGTACATGCCCTTGACCAGGAATCAAACCTGAGAGCCTTTGGTCTGAGAGCCAACACTCTAACTGCTGAGCCAAACCAGCCAGAGCTAATGATGAACTGTTCTTAAATTTGGGGACAGAGGTGCGGGGAGGGTTCTGACTCTTGACAGCCTGAACAAACAGCTTCTCAGAAAAATATGCACACATACAAATTTGCAGACAAATTCAGGAGGTCATAGAACCAAAAATTAAGAATCTCTCTAGACTTCCAGTCAAGATGGCAGAGTAGGTAAATGCGGTATCGCCTCCTCCCACAGCCACATCAAAGTTACAACTAAACTACAGAACTAAACAGCCTGACATCGAACTGAATAAAGTCCTACAACTACAGAATTAAAGCAGCAGCCACACCGAGACTGGTAGGAGGGGCGGAGGCGGACGGGCTGGTCCCACACCCACGTGTGGCGGATAAAATCACGAGGACACCTCGGCTGGGAAGGTCCTTCCTGAGTAGTGAGGGGTCCCCGCCCCACACCAGGAACCCAGCTCAGGGTTCCAGTGCCAGGAAGAGAATCCCCATCACTTCTGGCTGTAAAAACCAATGGGAACTGAGGCTGAGGCTGCGGGAGCCCCAGGCAGCTCCTCTTAAAGGGCCCGCACGTGGACTTACTCAGACTTACTCCTGGGCTCCAGTGTGGAGGAGAGGCAGCTTGAAATGCTCCAGAGACATACGGGGAACAATTGAATTGTTCGGCATTGGGGCGAGAGTTGGAGAGGCAGCTTTCTCCTGGACAGACTTGCTGTGGGAGGCCGTTGTTCCTTTGGTGAGCCCTTCCCTGGGGCAGCAGACAGACACCATATCTGGGACTCCAGCAACTTGGCTCACACTATTTGCCCTGCCCTGGTGATTCACTGAGGCCCTGCCCCACCCAACCTTCGGGCCCACCCAAGTTGTTTGCAGTGGTTTTACTATAAGATTGGCCTGTCCTGGATCCTGCTTCAGATTTTCCTAAAATCTCTCAAACAAGCAGCATCTGGTCTCAGCGAGCCCCATACCTCTTGTTAAGTGGCCCCAGGCCTGGAAGAAGTCAGCCTTGATTCACAGCTTGGCTTTTCCTGGGCACCTCCAAGCCCAGCACAAGAGCAGCCATTGGCAGATCACTTTATAGTTTATTCCGGGTGGCCCTGGGTGGAACACAGGCAGAGGGTGACCCTGCCCCAGAGGTAGCACACCCAGTGGGCAGCTTCAGACCACATCAAAGCATCACCACCAACCACCTCCACAACTGACACACTCAATGAGTGGACTCAGTGGGTACCAGTGCCCTGCTGAAGTAAGTCTTTCTCTTACTTTCAGTGTTGGGCCCCTACACTGCTGAACCTCCAAGGGAGTCAGAGGCCAGTGGTCAGTGAGCACAGCCAGTCCTAGCAGCTGATCAGCCTGAGTAAATCCCCCCCATTGACGTGCCAACAGCAATCAAGACTCAATTACAACAGAAGGGTAGACAGTCCACAGGAGGGGTGCACCTCGAGGGCCCAAATGGGAGATCAGGGAGGCTGTGCTACTGGACCCTACAGGACACCTATAACAACAGGCCACCCTACAAAGCCTAGGAGACATAGCAACTCTACCTAATACATAGAAACAAACACAGGGAAGCAGCCAAAATGAGGAGACAAAGAAACATGTCCTAAGTGAAAGAACAGAATAAAATTCCAGGAAAAGAACTAAACAAAATGGCCCCGGCCGGTTTGGCTCAATGGTTAGAGCATCGGCCTGCGGTCTGGAGAGACCCGGGTTCGGTTCCCGCTAAGGGCACGTGCCTCGGTTGCAGTTTGTCCCCGGCCCTGGTTGGGTCATGTGGATGTCAGCCACTCGATGTGTCTCTTTCACGTCGATGTTTCTCTCTCTCTCTCTTCCTCTTTCTCCCTCCCACTCTATCTGTACAAAAAATGGGAAAATGTCCTCAGGTGAGGATAAAAAAAAAAAAAAAAAAAAAAAACTAAACAAAATGGAGATAAGCAATCAATCAGATGCAGAGTTCAAAACACTGATTATAAGGATGCTCAAGGAACTTAGTGAGACCTTCAAGGAACTTAAGGAGACCTCTAAGGAACTTAGTGAGAACATCAACAACATAAAAAAGGACCAGTCAGACATGAAGGATTCACTAACTGAAATAAAGAATAATTTACAGGGAATCAATAGTAGAGTAGGTGAAGCCAAGAAGCAAACCTTATATTCTTAAATTAGAATATAAGGAAGCAAAAAACACCCAATCAGAACAGCAAAAAGAATTTTTAAAAAATGAGGACAGTATAAGAAGCCTCTGGGACAACTTCAAGCATACCAACATTCGCATCATGGGGCTGCCAGAAGGAGAAGAGAGAGAGCAAGAAATTAAAAACCTACTTGAAAAAATAATGACAGAAAACTTCCATAACTTGGTGAAGGAAACAGACATACAAGTCCAGGAAGCACAGAGAGTCCCAAATAAGATGAACTCAAAAAGGTCCACACCAAGACACATCATTATCAAAAGGTTAAAGACAAAGAGAGAATCCTAAAGGAGAAAAGCAGTTAATTACCTACAACGGAGCTCCCATAAGACTGTCAGCTGATTTCGCAAAAGAAACTTTGCAGGCCAGAAAGGAGTGGCAAGAGATATTCAAAGTGATGAAAAGCAACAACTTATTACCAAGATTACTCTATCCTGCAAAGCTATCATTTAGAATCGATGGACATATAGTTTCCCAGACAAGAAATAGCTAAATGAGTTCATCACCACCAAACCAGTATTATATGGAATGTTGAAGGGTCTTCTCGAAGGAGAAGAACAAAAATATGAACAATAAAATGGCAATAAATACATATCTATCAACAATTGAATCTACAAATAAAATGAGCAAGCAGAGCAGAAACAGACTCATAGATCCAGAGAACTTTTTGTTGCTTGCCAGATGGGAAGGGGCTGGGGGGAATGGGTGACAAATAAGAAGAAATTAAGAAGTACAAATTGGTTGTTAGACTGATAAACCTCAAAAGGAAGTGGGGAAGGAGGGTGGGAAGAGGTAAACCAAAGAACTTCTATGCATATATGCATAACCAATGGACACAAACAGTAGTGTGGGAAGGCAGGAGGTGGGCAGGATTGGGGAGGAGGGGGTCATTTGGGGAAAAATACGGGGAGCACCTGTAATACATTCAACCATAAAGATAAGTTTTTTAAAAAAAAGAATCTCTCTCTTAAGAGCCCTGTATTAAACAGTGTATTCTTTTAGTATATTTTATTTATTGATTTAAATATATTTTATTGATTTTTTTAGAGAGAGAGGAAGGGAGAGAGAAACACTGATGTGAGAAAGAACCACTGAGCCAGCAATCCGGGCTTGTGCCCTGACTGGGAATCCAACCCAGATCTCTCAGTCCATGGGAAGACACTCAATCCACTGAGCCACACCGGCTGGGCTCCTTTTAGTATATTTTAAATGATTCTATTTACACAAAACTTTCTTTTTAAAAATTAATTATTTTTGTTACAGATGTTTCTCCTTTCCCCCCCACTGATCTCCCCCCCCCCCGTCCCCAGCTTTATTGTCTATGTCCACTGTTCACACATACATGCATATAAGTTCTGTACTTACACAAAACTTTCTTTTTTTTTTTTATCCTTACCTGAGGACATTTTTCGATATTTTGTTCAGATAGAATGGGAGGGAGAGAGAGAGAGAGAAACATCAACGTGAAAGGGTCACACCGAGTGGTTGCCACCCACACGACCCAACCAGGGCCAGGGACAAACTGCAACCCAGGTATGTGCCCTCAGTGGAAACCAAACCCGGGTCTCTCCAGAAGGCAGGCCAAGGGTCTGTAACTGCTGAGCCAAACCGGCCAGGGCTACCCAAAACTTCCTATGAATTACTTCCTGATGTGAATTGGATACCTCAGTAAAAACTCAGAAATCATTTTAGGTTTTGGAAAAGTTGCAAAAATAGTGTAAAATTCCCCTGTGATTTTAACCTAAAGCCCCCAAAGGTTAACATTTTACATAACCTGCAGTACAATTATCAAAACGATTGATACAAGACGATTATTAGTTGATAGACCTTGTTCAAATTTGTCAGTTGTGCCATCAAGTACTTTTCCTGTCCTAGGATACAATCTAGGATTTCACACGGTTTAGTTATGGACCTGGCCTTTTTTTTTTTTTTTTTTTTTAATCCAAGAGCTGTGTGTTCTTGGACAAAGTACTTACTGTCTCACATTCTGTCTAATAAACGTGATGTGATTAAGAACAGTAAAAAAAAAAAAAAAAAAAAATTAAAGTTAAATATATATACATATATATAAATATATATATGTATATATATATTTGTATATATACATATATACATATGTATATATATATGTATATATATATCGCCCTGGCCCGGGAGGCTCAGTTGTTTGGAGCCTCGTCCTGCAGGACTCCTGCTCAGGGCACAAACCTAGGTTGCAGTTCCAGAGGGGTGGGGCGTGTATGGGAGGCAACCGAAATGTTTGTCTCCCACATCATGGTTCTCTCAAATCAGTAAAGACATATCCTTGTGTGAGGATTAAAAATTATACATACAAGGAATAGTATCGAAAACTTCAAAGGTAACTACTTTTTAAAAAATTTTCAGAGCTGGGCATATAGAATGCAGCGCTTCATTGCAATAAAAAAAAAAAAAAAAAAAAAAGCAAACAGGAGCGTGTTACTATCGTCGAGGTGTTTTGTCCCCAAGTCCGACCCGTGGCTTCTCCCGGCCGAGAGCAGCTTCCTCTAATTGGGCGGCGTGTATCGGCCCTGACGCAGGAAGGCCTTCTCATTGGTCCGCGCAGTCGGCGCTCCGCCGTCTTTTCTCTAGTGCTTAAAGCGCTGACCCACTTCTCTTCCTCCAACAGAGCGCTCCCTTTCTTCCCAAGTGCCCGGGGCTGCCAGTGGAAGGGATCCGGACCGCGCTAGGCCAGGTAACTGCCCTGAGGTCAGCGGGGAAGAAGCGGGTAAATTCCGATGTTGGGCGAGGCCGCTTTGTCTGCGCGTCCGTTCGACCCCCCGGGTCCCCGAGATTCCCCTGACCCGCCTCCTCCGCTGGCTCCACCCCCATCGGGCCCCCACAAAGGTTTTCGTGCCCCCCGGGGAGCCCCTCCACTGGCCCCACCCCCTCCGCCAGCCCTCCTGCAGGCCCCGCCCCCTTCTCCAACCGGTCTGCTGGCCCCGCCCTCACCAAGCTCCCTTCAGCTGCCCCGCCTGCTCTGGGAACCCCTCCGCGGGCACCGCCCTCGCCCAGTTGCTCTGCTCCACAGTGTACAGCCTTGGCCCCTCCACGCCTCTTGTTTGGTTCTGTTCCTCCCCTTAGACCCTCTCCTTCCTCTCCGTCAACCCTGCCTCCTGTGCATCCCTCTTCCCATGTGACTGCAGAGGTGCCCAGATTTCACCGATCCTGGCTGTCTTCATTTGGGCTCAAATTGTGCAGAGGCCTGCTGCTGGGCGTTGGAGGTCCCTGCTTTCTGGAGCTCCCTGCCCTGTGGGCGAGGCAGTTTAAGGAAGGAAGCATAGCATTCCTGGGTTTCCAGGAAGGGGTGCTACTGTTTTCACCCGCCCTGCTGAATCTGCTAGCAGGGCTGTGAGGGTCTTAACTGTATCTTTCTCTCAAAATGTCCCAGTTTCTTCTGATGAAGAATATTGGCGCTAACTGTTGTTCTTTACACTTGGAAAGTGGTAAAATCTTTTCATGGGCCCTTCTTTTAACCAAAGGTGGTAGGGCTTCATCCCCATCCACCCAAACCCTCAGTGTGCTGGCTGGGCTGAAGGCAACAGGCAGGCAAGTGATTGACTTAGTGACTCAGCATCATCCTCTTGATGGTTCTTTTTGGCATTTTTCCTAACGATTCTTACCCAATATTTCAATTACCCAGCAGTCTTAATTGATAGGAAAACCTAAATGTACGTGTAGATAAAACCTCCTCTCAGTAAGTAGACTTCTACTTGCACTTGTTATAAGTACTTATGTCCCTTATTCAGAAGATGGGGACTGACACCTTCAGTCTCTTGTAGTCAGGCCTCCCTGGGGCCTGGCTCCAGCTCCACCATTTGCTGTGAAATTTGGCAAAGAAACTTCCTTTAGCTGAGCTTCAGTTTTACCTTCTACAAAAACACATGATTAACCCTATCACACAGGGTCATGGTATGGATTTGTTGAGATCCTGCTGGTGAGAAAAATCATTTTTAGGGTCCTCTAAATAGTGCAATCTCAGCACAAGTGAACTCCTACTCTTCAGATTCAAGTCTGTCCAGTTCAACCAGCAAAGGGCCTGATATGGTTGTTGCCCTCTCGTAGGCACCATGACCACCCTGGATGATAAGTTACTCGGGGAGAAACTGCAGTACTATTACAGCAGCAGTGAGGATGAAGACAGTGACCACGAGGACAAGGATGGAGGCAGGGGTGCCCTGGCCAGCAGTTCGCTGCCTGTAGACGCCGAGTTGGCAGGCGAAGGCATCTCCGTTAACACAGGTACTGGAAATCCCTGAGCTCTGGTAACAGGTTTAAAAATGTCACTTAAATGTGTATCAGGTGGAAGTCTCCTGATTACGTCCCTGTAATTCGAGTCCCACTTCCAGAGATAACCTGGTGTCATTTCACTGTATATGATTCTAGCCATGTCACTGTACAATACAAATATGTATGCATAGCAACATGGTAATGAACACAGACTGGCCTGGGTTTGCGTCCTGCTTCTCAACTTAGTATTTGTTTGATAACACATAAATCATAAGTATGAGTATGTTAGTATAAATTCCTAGAAATGGCATATTTACATTTTTACAGTTTAGTAATCCTAATTGCTGTTGAGGTAGCACTGTTTTACAGTTTAACCAGCAGGATGATGTTTCTCCATACGCTTGCCCTCCTACTGTGTTCTCACACTTTTTTTTATCCTCACCCGAGGACATTTTTGCATTTATCCTCAGTTAGAGCGGGAGGGAGAGAGGGGGAAAGAGGGAGAGAGAAACATCGATGTGAGAGAGACACATCGACTGGTTGCCACCCACACTACCCCAATTGGGGCTGGGTACATATTGCAACCAAGGTACGTGCCCTTAGCGGGAACCGAACCTGGGACTCTCTGGTCTGCAGGCTGTGCTCTAACCGCTGAGCCAAACCAGCCAGGGCATCACTTTTTGATCTTTGCCAACTCAATGGATGACAAATAGTAACTCCTTGTAGTTTTATTTTTTCTATTTTTAAGAGTGATGTTGAACCTCTTTTCATAGCATTAAAGATATTTTCATATTCTTTGCTCCTTTTAAAATTGAGTGGTTGGTCTTTTTATTCTTAGGGAGCTGTATATTAAGGAAATTAATCTATGGTATGAGGTGTAAATATTGTTTGTGTTTTGACCTTGTGTTTTTTCCTGGCAAGAAATATTTATTTTTATGTACTTAAAAGCATTATTTTATAGTTTCTTAATTTTCTTTCTTTCTTAAAAGGCCTTTTTTTCACTCTAGGATTTTTTTAAAGAATATGTTTTTATTGATTTTTTTAGAGAGAGAGGAGGGAGAGAGAGAAACATCAGTGTGAGAAACATCGATTGGCTGCCTCTTGCATGCCCTTCACTGAGGATTGAGCCCGAAACTCTGGCATGTTCCCTGACTGGGAATCAAACCAGGACTTCTCAGTCCATGGGATGACACTCAATCCACTGAGCCTTACTGGCCGGGTATTCACTCTAGGTTTATAAAAAACTCTCCCATGCTTTTTCTTAGTGTTTCTATGATTTTATTTATTTTTTTTTACACTTAAATATATATTTATCCATTGATTTGTCTTTCACTATACTCTATCACACTGGTTTCAAATACAGTATTATGACATGTTTTAGTGTGGTAAGGCTAGTCCCTCTTTAGTACTTGTCTATGTCATTATTTTCCTAACTTTAACCTTTTTATTTTTCCAAAGCAAATTCAAGAGGATGTACTCCTATGTGTAATCATGTATTTTCACTGGGGATGCATTAAATGAGTAGATTAATTTAGGGGTTATTGGTACCCTTGTGTGGTGTCGGGTCTTTCTGGTTGGGAATATGGCACAGCCTTTCCATTTATTCAGGTCTGTCTTAGCATTTTTTGGATTTTCATTTCAAAGGATTTTCTTCATATAGATTCTTTTTTTTAAAAAAGTGTGTTTTTATTGGTTTTTTAGAGGGAGAGGAAGGGAGAGAGAGATAGAACCAGTGATGTGAGAGAAATACCGATCGGCCGCCTCCTGCGCACCAACTACTGGGGATTGAGCCCACAACCTGGGCATGTGCCCTGACCGAGAATTGAACCGGACCTCTCAGTCCATGGGACAATGCTCAATCCACTGAGCCACACCAGCCAGGCATCACGTAGTTCTTATCTCAGTGGCTTGTGACAGCAAAGGTTTATTTCTTAGTCGTGTTAGTGCTCCTTGTGTGGGTCAGCAGCAGCTCTGCTCCTGTTTCACGTGTCTTCCAATTCTAGGAACCACTTGAAAGATATGCCTCTTTCATGACCACGTGCAGGGAGCAAGAGGGGGCTGCTGGGGACATGTAATGGCTCATTTTTGCTCAGAATCCATTGGCCAAAGAAAGTCACATGACCAAGCACATATCAGCTGGCTGGGGATACATGTACTCATCCCACAGGAGGTACTACAAGTCACATGGCAAGGGGCAGGGATATATAGTTGGGGGCAGGGAGGTGTGGGGGGTGGCTTGACTAACAGAACAATCTGCCGTAGTGTTATAAAAATTCAGATCATACAGAAGTGTAGAAAGAAAAAAGTGAAAGTTTTCTATCCCCAGACCCATTAGGTTCTGTCACCTAGAGACAACCACTGTTAATAGCTTACACATCCTTCTAGCCCTTTTACTTTGAACATACAAATGTACACACACATATATGATCATCCATAAATATTTATATATATATATACATTTTTTTTTCTGTATTGTTCTGCATTTTGCTCTCTTTTTTTACCTTATATATTTGAACATCTTTCATGGCAGGAAACAGAGCTACCTCTTTTCTTTGTTTTTTGTTTTTTTTGTACGTGCCCCTAGTGGGAACTGAACCCGGGACTCTCTGGTCTGCAGGCTGGCGCTCCAACCGCTGAGCCAAACCGGCCAGGGCAGAGCTACCTCTTTCTAAGAGTTTCTGTATTTTCCTTTAAGTAGATGGATCATGATTTATTTAACATTAATTAAATAACTCATCTCCTAACGTCGAACCCTTAGCTTGGCCCTTTAAGTATTGCAAACCATACTGCAGTGGACATCATGGTGTATAGACCATGCTGCCCTGTATAAGCGTCACTGTGGAGTCAGTGGAGTGAGCTTTAGATAGATGTGGTCTGGTCCATAGGTCATTGCCCATTCTTCTTGGTTACCTCCATGTTCACCCCCAACCCAGGTCCAAAAGGTGTGATCAATGACTGGCGCCGCTTCAAACAGTTGGAGACGGAGCAAAGGGAGGAGCAGTGTCGGGAGATGGAAAGGCTGATCAAGAAGCTGTCAATGAGCTGCAGGTCCCATCTGGATGAAGAGGAGGAGCAACAGAAACAGAAGGACCTCCAGGAGAAGATCAGTGGGAAGGTAATTCGTGGCACCCAGGCTTTTCTCAGAAGCTGGCCTGGCTGCTGCGACTGGGGCCAGTGACTCAGGCGGTATAGGATATTTGATTTGGCCTCCAAGAAGCTGTGCAATGCCAGGGAAAGTATAGAGAGAGTCATGTCATAACTCGGACACACCTGGGTTCGAATCTCAGCTCAGCCATTTGTGACCGTGGGGACATCTCTTTCATTCTGAGTCAGGCTTTTCATTGATTAAATGAGAGCATTATCCCTACCTCACAGGGTCATGTGGGTACAGTCCCCATCACAGTGCCTGGTCCTTTGAAAGTGCTCAGTAAGCCCTGGCCGGTTTGGCTCAGCGGTTGGAGCGTCGGCCTGCGGTACAGAGAGACCCGGGTTCGGTTCCTGCTAAGGGCACGTACCTCGGTTGCAGTTTGTCCCCGGCCCTGGTTGGTCGTGCCGGGGGCAGCCACTTGATGTGTCCCTTCACATCGATGTTTCTCTCTCTCTCTCCCTCCCACTCTACCTGAACAAAAAATGGAAAAATGTCCTCGGGTGAGGATAAAAAAGAAAGTGCTCAGTAAATGTGAGTTTCCTGTCCTTTTTTGAACTCTGACCTTGGGCCAGAAATAACCCTCTGAGGTTGGTGGTATTATCCCCATTTTATAGATGATGAAGCTGGTGCTTGGAGATGGGAGGGGACTTGCTCAGGGTCATGCAACTAGTAAAAGCTAACAGGAACTAGGATTCTAGGCCAGACTTTCCTGCTCTTTTCATGTTGTTGCTCTGTTTCACCGGGAGCCTATTCGTGAGCATTTATGCTAATGAGGCAATACAATAGAAGATATATGGAACCAGGTCACTGACTCTCTCTTCCCAGTATCAAAGGGACTATATTTCACCCCATGCCCTGTGACCACAGATGAATGTCTAGGCGGGCCTGAGGTCATTTGGCTATGACCCAAAGCAGCTCTTGGCTGGTTGTACCAGCCAGGATCTGGAAGCAGTTAAGAGGATTAAATGAGGGGCCCTTCACCTTGACTAGAGGCATGATTTCAGGGCATTACACTCAAAGACCCTAATAGGTAGGCTGAGGTAGAGTGGAGAGCTCTGAGATGGGATGAAGATTGGGAAGAAGTAAAACAGTGAATTTAGAATGGCACTGGCTGCGATGCAGTAACATCTGTTCTGACCTAGCCTGGCCCCTCAGCCTCCACTCTAATCCATGCTGGGTTAGGTAGAGCTAGGCTGTGTTAGGGGGGCAGGACTGTCTTGCTGCTCTAGGGCAGGAGAAGGGAGATGCTTTGGTAACTTCAGCCGGCTGCTGAAGGCAGTGTGTTTCCTTATACTGAGGAAACGGCTCGTCACGTGGTCACGTGGGACAGTCTTGAGAGAGGCTGTCCCTGCCCTGCTGAGTTGTCTGTGGTAGAACAGAACTAGAATCTGCCTGGATGCCAGAAATAGGGGAGTGGTAAAGCAAAATATGGCACAGGATGTATTATATATACAAATTTGGAAACATGAAATGTTTATGATACAATAATGCTAAGTGGCAAAGCAGGTTATAGCTTAATTTTGACCACCCACAACTGCTATTATAAAAGCAAAAGCCATTTCAGCATGTGACTGCATTTTGTGCAAGGCAGGGGTTATGAGTGTTCTTTTCTTTTCTTTTTTCTGTTAATCCTCACCTGAGGATATTTTTCCATTGATTTTTTTAGATAGAGTGGAAGAGGTGGGGAGAGAGAGAAACATTGATGTAAGAGAGATGCATTGATTGGTTGCCTCCTGCACAACCCTGACCAGGGCTGGGAATCAAACCTGCAACCCAGGTATGTGCCCTTGACTGGGAATTGAACCTGTGACCCTTCGGTTCAAGGGCCGACCAATGATCTAACTGCTGAGCTAAACCAGCCAGGGCATGAGTGTTCTTTTTAAAGTTCCTTAATGTCCTATTGTCTATTCAACAAAAACAAAACTGTGCATAAAGTAATTAATCCATTGTCAGGACTGACAATAAGGAAGAAGCTGGTGAAGTAATATTATCTGATGCTGCGTATTTGGATCGAGAAGCAATACTGATACAGTAGTGAAAAGCCTGGGTTTTAAAATAACCTGGTCTGAATTCTGGCCTTACACTTGTTACCTCTGTGAATTTGTGCAAATGACCTCAAGTCCTGGAACTTCATTTCTAAAGTGGGGGAAACAAAGGTCCTTTTCCAATGGGGTCAGCATAAGAATTCAGTGAGGTGTAGCACAGGTGGGGCTCTGAGAAAGGTGCCTCCTGAGTCACAAGCACGCAGTGCAGATGAGTGGTTATCACAGGTGTTCAGTTTGTTTCTGATGCTCACTTGCTGGTCCTCCTGCAGATGACTCTGAAGGAGTTTGCCATGATGGATGAGGACCAAGACGATGAAGAGTTTCTTCAGCAGTACCGGAGGCAGAGAATGGAAGAGATGCGGCAGCAGCTTCACAAAGGGCCCCAGTTCAGACAGGTGTTTGAGATCCCCAGTGGAGAAGCGTTTTTAGACATGATCGATAAAGAACAGAAAAGCACCCTCATCATGGTCCATATCTATGAGGACGGCATTCCAGGGACAGAGGCCATGCATGGTTGCATGATCTGCCTTGCTGAGGAGTACCCAGCTGTCAAATTCTGCCGGGTGAAGAGCTCAGTGATTGGGGCCAGCAGTCGGTTCACCAGGAATGCCCTTCCTGCCTTGCTGATCTATAAGGGGGGCGAACTGATTGGCAATTTTGTTCGTGTCACTGACCAGCTGGGTGAAGATTTCTTTGCTGTGGACCTTGAAGCTTTTCTACAGGAATTTGGATTGCTCCCAGAAAAGGAAATCTTGGTTCTGACATCTGTGCATAACTCTGCCACCTGTCACAGTGAGGATAGCGATCTGGAGATAGATTGAACTGATAATCCGGTGGCATAGATTTCTCATTGTTTGGGCTGGAAGACACAGCTCTGTGTTTATTTTTATTCCTTCGTGTGTCTTCTGGCTTTGCAGCTATTCTTTGTAGTCCCTTTTATTATATGTAAAGTCAAGAAATTCTTAGATTAAATCGGAATGCCGAATAATCTCATAACTAGCAATAAAGTGACTTAAAGTTGTATGAGCAGGAAGCCAGGCTTTTGAACTGTTTACTTAAGATTCTCCAGCGTGACATCCATATTTCCAGTCAGTATTTACATGGCATCCTGAAGACAGTGTCCTGGGAGTTGTTTTCAGATGATCTCAGGCCTGCACCAGCTCTGGGAGTATAATTCTATAGTTAGTATGTTATTTGTAACATAAATAGTACATTTTCTTCATCTAATGATTATAAATTATATTTAATTGTAATCAGATCCATAGTCCAAGAAGGCAGTTTAATATTTCCCCTGAGAACCTTTCTCTATTGGGATCTTATTTTAAGGTCCCAGACGATGTGTGTTTGTCCTTTCAAGAGGGGTGACCTTAGCTCTGGCCAGTTTGGCTCATCAATTGGAGTGTTGGCCTGAGGACCAGAGAGTCTTGGGTTCGGTTCCCGCTAGGGGCACATACCAAAAAAAAAATAAATAAAAAAAAAATTAAAAATTAAAAAAGAGGGGTGACCTCTGCTGCTGGACTCCATGTGCCCCCTCAAGCATTAAGTGTAGAGGAGGAGGCAGGATCCATACTGACTGCCCTGCTGACGCTGGAAGACCAGTTTGACTTACAAATGAGAGCTGGTGGAGCTGGAAAGCCTTTCTAAGGGAGGACCTTTCAATAACACTCCTGCTCATCTTTCTGTCTCTTTTATTTAACAAATTAATTTCTTTGTTTAATGTGGATTTTTAAAAAATTTCCCTCCCAAGGTGTTTTCTTTATAGACATTTTCTTTGTTGATAAAACAGTGGGATCATTCTGAATGTATTGTTTGTAGCATGGTCAGTCAATAGAGCAGATTTTTTTTCATGTTATTGTTCTTCAACATTTTTTAACTGGCCGATGATATTCCATGCATGGATGCGCTATAATTTGCTGGTTGGTAGTCTCTAAAAGAAAAACATCACAGACTTTTTATTACAAAAGTAATAGATGTTCATTGTAGAAAACGTTATAAAAATTATTAAGCTAAAGAGAGATTTTAAAAGCCTTATAATTTCACCAGCCAAAAAATACCCGTTATTATTTTACATGTATCTTTCTTCCCACACGACCAACCAGGGCCGGGGACAAACTGCAACCAAGGTACACGCCCTTAGCAGGAACCGAACCCGGGTCTCTCTGGACCGCAGGCCGACGCTCTAACCGCTGAGCCAAACCGGCCAGGGCTACATGTATCTTTCTAGTCTTCTTTGTGTGTATGTATAATAATGATTGTCATTTGTGTGGTTTTTTTTGTTTATTGATTTTTAGAGAGGAAAAGAGAGGGAGTGAGAGATAGAAACAAAACATTCTCTCATCGATGAGAGAGAATATCAATTGGTCACCTCCTGCACGCCCCTGACTGGTGATTTGGCTCACAACCTGGGTATGTGCCCTGACCGGGAATCAAACCGGTGACCTCTTGGTGCATGAGTTGATGCTCAACCACTGAGCCACACCAGCCGGACTTATTTGTGTGTTTTCCTCTTGTTTTTTGCTTTAAAAAAAATGTACATTTTAGGGTCAGGGAAAATGTAATCTAGAATTAAATATAACCTTTAAAATTCTCAATTTTGCTTTTGCTGTCTGTTTAGGAATTGACTATGCGATGGGTGTTGAAAATACCTGTTGTAGTTAATCAACAAAAAATAAGTGCTTGGTTTTTCTGATTATAAAGCTCATTGTAAAAGTGTGGAAAGTACAGAAATTATTAGAATCAGCAATACCTGTTGTGAATGCTGTGGTTTATTTCCTTTCAATTTTTTTTCATTGTTTTTAATAACATTGAGAACTTAACTGAATTTACTTATGTTTTATTTAATATTATATGATAAATACTTTGACATGTTATAAAAATTCTAAATAAATTTTTAATGGCTTCATAATATTCCATCATTTGAATATAACACAATTTATTTTTATTTATTTATTTATTTTTGTTACAGATGTTCCTCCTTTTTTCCCATTGACACTCTCCTCCCCATCTCCCCCACCCTGTCCCCAGCTTTGTCGTCGATGTCCATTGTTCATGCACACATGCATATAAGTTCTGCGGTTCATCTCTTTGTCTCCCCACCTCCTCTGAGGTTTGTCAGTCTGTACCCTACTTCCATGTCTCTGGGTCTACTCTTTTCCTCAGACTATTATGTTAATTATATTCTACAAATAAGTGAGATAATGTAATATTTGTCTTTCTTGGCTTGGCTTGTTTTGCTTAGGATAATACTCTCCAGTCCCTCCATGTTGTCTCAAAGGATAAGAGATCTTTCTTTCTTATAGCTGCATAGTACTCCATTGTGTATATGTACCCAGCTTTTTAATCTATTCGTCTACTGATGGACACTTGGGCTGTTTCCAGATCTTAGGTATTGTAAATAGGGCTGCTATGAACATGAGAGTACATATATTTTTTTCTGATTGCTGTGTCAGGCTTCTTCGAGTATATTTCTAGAAGTGGGATCACTGGGTCAAATGGAAGTTCAATTTTTAATTTTCTCAGGTAACACCATATTGTTTTCCATAGTGGCTGCACCAGTCTGCATTTCCACCAGCAGTGTACTAGAGTCCCCTTTTCTCCACACCCTCGCCAACACTTGTTGTTTGATGATTTGTTGATGGCGGCCATTCTGACAGGTGTGAGGTGATACCTCATTGTTGTTTTAATTTGCATCTCTGCTGATTAGTGATGTTGAGCATTTCTTCATATGTCTCTTGACCATTTGAATGTCCTGTTTGGAGAAGTGTCTAGTTCCTTCACCCACTTTTTAATAGGGTTCTTTGTCTTTTGTTGAGTTGTATGAGTACTCTATATATTTTGGAAATTAACCCCTTATCTGATGTATCATTGGCAGTTATGCTCTCCCATACAGTGGGTTCCCTTTCCATTTTGATTGTTGTTTCTTTTGCTGTGCAGAAGCTTTTGAGTTTGATGTAGTCCCATTTTTTCCTTTGTTACTGTTGCCTTAGGTGATGCATCAGTGAAAATTCTGCTGTGTATGATGTTGGAAATTTTGTTGCCAACATTTTCTTCTAGGATTTTTATGGATTCATGAATCACATTTAAGTCTTTTATCCATTTTGAGTTTATTCTTGTGTATGGTGTAAGTTGATGGTCTAGTTTAATTTTTCTGCATGTAGCTGTCCAATTTTCCCAGCACCATTTATTAAAGAGGCTGTCTTTACTCCACTGTATGCTCTTGCCACCTTTGTCAAATATTAATTGAGCATAATGTCTTGGGTCAATTTCCCGGTTTTCTGTTCTGTTCCACTGGTCTATGTGCCTGTTCTTGTGCCAGTACCAGGCTGTTTTGATTACAGTAGCTTTGTAGTATTCCCTGATATCCGGTATTGTGATCCCACCTTTTTTGTCCTTCTTTTTCAAGATTGCTGTGGCTATTCGGGGTCTTTTTTTGGTTCCATGTGAACTTTTGAAGTATTTGTTCTAGTTCTGTGAAATATGTCATTGGTATTTTGATGGGGATTGCATTGAATCTGTAGATTGCTTTGGGTAATATGGACATTTTAATGATGTTAATTCTTCCAATCCATGAACAAGGTATGTGTTTCCACTTTTTTATATCTTTCTCTATTTTTTTATTCAATGTCCTATAGTTTTCTGCCAATAGGTCCTTTACTTCTTTGGTTAAGTTTATTCGTAGGTATTTTAAATTTTTTGCCATGATGGTAAATGGGATTGTTTTTTTAGTTTCTCTTTCTGTAAATTCATCATTGGTGTATAAGAATGCCATCGATTTCTTGACATTAATTTTGTATCCTGCTACTTATTCATTTATTAAGTCTAGCAGATTTTTTTTTTTTTATCCTCACCCGAGGACATTTTCCCATTTTTTGTTCAGATAGAGTGGGAGGGAGAGAGAGGAAAAGGGAGGGAGGGAGGGAGAGAGAGAGAGAGAGAGAGAGAGAGAGAGAGAGAGAGAGAGAGAAAGAAATATGGATGTGAAAGGGACACATTGAGTGGCTGCCACCCGCATGACCAACCAGGGCCGGGACAAACTAAGTCTAGCAGGTTTTTGATGGAGTCTTTAGGGTTTTCTATGTATAATATCATGTCATCTGCGAATAATGACAGTTTCACTTTCTCCTTTTCAGTTTGGATCCCTTTTATTTTTTCTTCATGTCTGATTGCTGTGGCTAAAACTTCCAGTACTATGTTAAATAAGAGTGACAAAAGTGGGCATTCCTGTCTTGTTCCTGTTCTTAAGGGAAATGCTTTTAGTTTTTGCCCATTGAGTATGATGTTGGCTGTAGGTCTTTCATATATGGCCTTTATTATGTCGAGATATGATCCCTATATTTCCACATTGCTGAGAGCTTTTATCAGAAATGGGTGCTGGGTTTTTTCGAATGCTTTTTCAGCGTCTATTGATATGGTCATGTGGTTTTTATCTTTCATTTTGTTTATGTGGTGTATCACATTTATTGATTTGTGAATACTGGACCATCCTTGCATCCTGGGGTTAATTCCACTGGGTCATGGTGAATACTTTTTTTAATGTATTGCTGGATTCGATTTGCTAGTATTTTGTTAAGGATTTTGGCATCTATGTTCATCAGGAATATTGGCCTGTAGTTTCCTTTCTTTGTAGTGTCTTTTTCTGTATTTGGAATTAGAATTATGCTGGCCTCATAAAATGAGTTTGGAAGTCTTCCTTCTTCTTGAATTTTTTGAAATAGTTTGAGGAGAATGGGTATTAGTTCTTCTTTGAATGTTCATTAAAATTCCCCTTTCCAGGCCTGGGCTTTTGTTTGCTGGGAGAGTCTTGATTACATCTTCAATTTCCTTAGTTGTTATTGGTTTATTCAAATTTTGTATCTCTTCTCTGTCCAGTTTTGGGAGACTGTGTGTCTCTAGAAATTTGTCCGTTTCGCTTAGATTGTCGAATTTGTTGCCATATAATTGTTCTTCGTATTTGTTAATGATCCTTTGTATTTCT